GTCTATTAGATATATTAGTCTACAAGGTGTCATTACACCTTAAACTATGTTATATGCCATAAACTACATATAACATACATGGTCTGCTCCTGTTGTATATTACCTACAAGGTATAAGTCTATTAGATATATTAGTCTACAAGGTGTCATTACACCTTAAACTATGTTATATGCCATAAACTACATATAACATACATGGTCTGCTCCAATTGTATATTACCTACAAGGTATAAGTCTATTAGATATATTAGTCTACAAGGTGTCATTACACCTTAAACTATGTTATATGCCATAAACTACATATACCATACATGGTCTGCTCCAATTGTATATTACCTACAAGGTATAAGTCTATTAGATATATTAGTCTACAAGGTGTCATTACACCTTAAACTATGTTATATGTCATAAACTACATATAACATACATGGTCTGCTCCAATTGTATATTACCTACAAGGTATAAGTCTATTAGATATATTAGTCTACAAGGTGTCATTACACCTTAAACTATGTTATATGCCATAAACTACATATAACATACATGTTCTGTCGTGTATAATCCATTGATTATACACGGCAGAACAGGTATGTTCTATGTAGTTTATGGCAATTAGTATTATGCATGTATATGTAGAGCATGCACTGCTAAAACTTGTATAATAAAGTAGCTTATGGCTGAACACTTAAGAAATAGGTTTATTACAGTATAAAGTTGAAGTTGACAATTGGAAAAAACAATCCAAACGAAAGTTCGGTTGTAAGAACGTTACAGAATATTTCCAGTGATAAAACATATTAGAACCTTTTGACTTTCTGCCATATAAGAACTGCGTATTCAGTTATATTTAGTGGGTTGATTTTTGTTGAAAATTTGTTTTAACTATTTAATCGTCTAAAAATATAACATGATAACTCCAGAAAGAATAATGCAAAAACCTTTTTACATATAGTTCGCTACACGATACATGTAGATTATTAGTTACAAAAATAGTTCAGTTTATGTGAATCCTGAATGCCTGAAGTGGTTTAGTGTTTCCATTGACATATTTTCTAACACATAGCGAGGCTTACATTTAACAGAAGGTCGCAGGTTCGAGCCTAAATAAATTATGAGCTTTTTGATGGTTCAAAACAAATCCCAGCTGTTCTTGATCATTGTGCGTGTAATAGCCATGAAAAAAAAAACAGCTGTTCTTAGGCAGTAAAAAAGATACGATTTCATTAACTCAACGCCTATCCTTAACTCATCTTCCCATTAAAATCATCCAATTGTTGTGCCAGAGTCGTATAAACCTCTATACCAAACCGTATCCTTACTCTAACGTTATATCTTCCACATTATTACAACAGCGCACATCGTTAACAGTTTTGTTACTGTAGCAGGACATGGTTAATACAGACCCAAACTGTATATAACAATACAGGAAGCACTGGACAGAGATAACGCCGGGAATGTAACGATTTACAGTTAACAGTAAGCGATTGCAGAGATAACAGAGCACCTGGTGTCCGCGGGTCGTTTGTAGCGACAGTATTAATGATTGATTTATAACGACATGGCGCAGTAACATATGTTCAGAGGCTGAAATAACTATGGGTAGGATATTGACACAAATAACTATGGGTAAGAAATTTACCAAAATAACAATAAGCAGGACATTAAACAAAATGACTATCTACAAAATATTAACGACGATAACTATGGGTAGGAATATTGACCAAAATAACTATGGGTAAGAAATTTACCAAAATAGCTATAAGCAGGACATTAAACAAAATGACTATGTACAGAATATTAACGACGATAACTATGGGTAGGATATTGACCAAAATAACTATGGGTAGGAATATTGACCAAAATAACTATGGGTAGGATGTTGACCAAAATAACTATGGGTAGAAAATTAACCAAAATATTAACTATGGTATACGAGAAAAATCCCTAAGGGCGAGCTGTTATATAAAATACCTATGCGAAAGCAATTAACTGAATAAACCATAGAATTTTAACAAAAGAAAAAATAATACTAGCTCCAATAAATATAGCAATACTATTAACCAAAACAAATATGGATGGACTAGTGTTTATAATTTTAAGCTGTGAAAAGAAATACACACGTATGTTTCTCAAGTTATGAATGATAAGTAGGTCTAAGTTAATTAAATATCTGAATAGATGTTACAAATCCAAATAGAATTATTACATAGCTTTTATAAAAAAGTTCCCCAATTTACAGACAATTTTTCTAGCCTGAGAGATTTAGCTTTTTTGTGATTTTTTAAAAATTTTATAACTTCAATATATGTACCAGCATCACATTCGTATTCGATTGATGTCGTGTTAAAGCATTTACAGCAGGTAACGATTGTACACGGTCGACACTAGGAAAGAACAAGCAAGCGTAAGTTGGTGTGATTGTTACTCGCAATCAAGGTAATGGAAAACAGAGACAAAAAGTTGCTCTGTCTCGTCCCAGCTGGGCGACGTGCGCTCATGTTCTTGCTATCAACATACTGCACTCAGCGTTCAACTCTCAACGTATGTGTGCTGATGTTCTTGCTAACAGCGTTCGACACTCTACATTATACACTCAAAGTATGTGCTCAACTAAATATTAACTATATACGCTGTCCTATCAGCATCATACGCTTCTAAGTGTGTGCGTTCAAGTCCTATCGCTCACGGTACTCAGTATAATATACTCCGATCTTATGTAATAATCTTGCTACTGTATCATCAATAACACTCAGAATCCTAAATACTAAATATGTGCGTAGATACGTCGCAGATGATTCTAAAAAATTATCGGCTATATGCTGATTTTGTTTCATCTTGCTACTCAGCATATTGCACTCAAAACACAAGGATGATCAGCATGTGTACACTGACGAGCTAACGGTTTCGCTATTCGTTAGACTGCACTTAGCATAAGTTCTTAACATACTTCGCTCAGCATAGGTGCGCTTCGTACAGCATCTGAGCTCTATGCAGGGCATATCACAGCATTTTATCTTTTGTCCAAAATAAACCAGCACATTATTAGTCTACTTCAGCGTAGAACATTTAACTTAAAATCCGTATACTCGATGTACAATGCTTTATAATTTCTCTACGCCAAAAACTCGTACACTGCAATAACTGCATAAGAAACAAAATAAATATGTTGTATAAAATATTTTTAAACCACATCTAAACTGGTCTACACACTGGACAGAGAGTGTACGTGAGCTGTTAGATCTCCCGCTTGTTGGACTGAGGTATTGTGACCCATTCGTGGTCGTAAACCGTTATTTCCTACGTCTTAATACATTTTGTTCCGAGTTCTTAAATCACTCCAACGTCACAATGTCGAGGGCAGCTGACACACTTTTGGCGGCAACAATACATTATATGGCGCTATTTTGGCGGGAGTACACGACCAATGCCAATTTAATAATACACTATAGAAGAAAGAAGACTTACAATTTATGAAAAATTTAAAAGTACAGTATGTCCGATTTTTTACAAGCTATGCGGGAAATTATTGTACCACCCATTTTATACAATGTTGGTTACTTATATATTACTTATAAAATATATGGAGTTTATAAAATAAAATGATATATACTGAAAGTAGCCTAACAACTAAAATACTCTTCTATTTTGATTAGGTTTATAGTACGTGAAGGTTTTATAACGCGATTATCCTAAAATACTAAACAGTATGTTGAAATATCCCTTATACCTTAACAAAATATAAAATATGGTTATATATATTTTTCAATTATTATTATTATTATTATTATTATTATTATTATTATTATTATTATTATTATATTAATATTATAACCCACCACATTTTTTTTAATAAAAAAACGATTTGGTATAAAGTTACGATAACACATTTTATTAAACGAGAAACAAATAATAAACAAAAACGTTATCAAAATATGGATTACTAGGAATGAATTCGTATACTATTATTAGGTAACAAGTTCGTAAAAAGTTAGGTACAAGATATTACTTATTTTTTTAGAAAAAACTTTTAAGCAATCAATATTTAAAATTTAACGTGAATGTAACGGATGTTCGAATGTCTGTTAACTTGGCTGAAACCAATTTGCCGTTTACGCTTAATAAATGTGCTCTCCAATTAAACCGTTACAGTAGCCTATACTCTTTCAAAAATCAATTATTTTTTATCTTCTTCCCTTGCGATTTATAAGCAATCACAAATCACGGACGGCTTAGAGTTTATATATTTCCAGGACATTGAAAGCAAGAATGTGAACGATATATTTTAACGGATAAATTAATATTAATATCTAATTTGTAAGATCAGTAGTTGAAGTAATTGAAACTTATATTTTGTTACGTAGGGACAAAAATCACACAAATTGAAAATTCCAAATCTGTACAAAAATAATGAAGCGAAAATGAAAAATGGAAATTAAATAGATGATGATGACGATGATGAAAATGAAAATAGTGAATCGAAAATAATGGGGACATGAATTTTGTAAAAATAAAAACTTACCACTTGTCAACGTGTTTTTATACAAAAATTCCGTTTTAATTTACCAAAGTAATAAAAAAAACTGTTTATGGAATAATCTGACACCCGAACGACTTTTTTACATATGAGTAAGTAATAAACATTGTGTGGATTAAAACCGAAGTAAAATATGCCACAACATGCTAAAAGCCTATAACCACATACGTTACAATTTTTCTTCTATTGGTGGATCCCGAACTTAAAAAATACTAGAGGGATTAACGTTTCTTATTATATACAATTAAACTTGCAAAATCACTCAACGTAATTCTCGACACTGATAAACTCAATAGCACGTAGTTTACAAAACTAAAACGTACAACAAAACAGCGGCTTGTAGAAGCAGCACGGCGGAGTTGTAGTCGTAAATAGAGTTCGCCCCTGGCCGGGTCATACTTTATTCACGACGTGCGGGGCATCAACACAAAACTAAACACAGACCGTACATAAACACTCGTCCTTACCTTGGCGAAGCGCTCCTGAGTGTCCAGAATGTCGAACAGAAGGGCGACTTTATCATCTCCGAGCACGAACCCGTTCCTGTTCTGGTTGAAGAGAATCTGTAGAGCTTGGCGAGCGGCGTTGGTCGCCGGGTATCCGTTCAGGCTGGTCGGACGGAACGGCTGTCCGTGGAACGTCGGACTGGGCCGGGGGGTGGAGGCCCTGATGTGGTTCTGAGACGACGTCGGCAGCGAGAGTCTCCGGTTGGGCAGAGGGAGAGAGCTCGTCGAGTGAGCTGGCGGAGCGGAGGTCGGAGCGTTCTTGTACAGCTGGTAGTCACTAGAGGAGGACGGCAGTGACCGGTAGCCAGAGTCTGAGGGACTCAACGCAGCTGATGTTGTGACAGGGACCGTGTGAGACGTGGGGATGTTGTGTCGCCTGAACGACCCTTGTGGATTGTATGACGAGGACCTGAGGTAGTCGTACTCCGGCGTGGAGGTCGCTATGCTATGTGGCCGCTTGGCCGAGGACGACGGGGGGTTCCAACTCATCTCTCTAGACGAGTGGACTACGGGGGTCGAGACTATCTGGGGCTGGTGGCTCAGGGAGCTTCCCAGCCCGGACGGCACAGTCGCTGACGAGACAAGACCATAAGGGCGAACTGCTCTTGTCCCCGGATGCGAAGGTAGAGGGGCGGGTGGAGTATAAAACGGGAAATTCGAGATTATATTGTTGTATTCTAAAGCGGCACTGGAGGTCCCCGGCTGAGAAGTCGACCTCGACATCCCGACGGAAGTATAGTTCGAATTATACGATCTACTGAGGGGAGGAGCTTCCGACCTGAGTCTAGAGGGGTCTTGGTATACGGTGGAAGGGCGCTCGGCCACAGGCTTACGAAGAACGATGTTTTCCGGCGGAATCCATATGTCACAGTTAGGTGTTGATGAAGGTCTCTTGGAGTAGGTCTGCTCGATGGAGACGGATGTCGGGAGGCTTGTGGGTCTCGCCGGAGAAGAGTGTCTGGAAGTTTCCAAAGTCGTTGGTCTGGACACCGGACGACGGGGGATGTCGTAGATGTGGTCATCGTTGTCGATATTGTGCAAGGAGGTTCTGGACCCTCGTCGAGAGATGTCACCGGAACTGAGGTCGTAGGTCGAACCGCTGTTTCTCGTGGAGGATCGTCTAGGAATGTCGTTGGAGAAGTCCAGGGGCTCGCTTCGTCTGAACGGAGCGGTAGGTGCCGCAGTGACTGGCTGCGCCGGCAGCTGCCTGAGTGTGTAGGCCGACTGCGACTTCGGAACATTGCGAATCTCATCCTCCTCAGCGAGAGCGTCGGTGCGGCGCCGGATGATGTCCTGCAGTTGGGACAACCCCTCGCAGGACCCTCTCCAGGTGGCGAACCCTCCATCGTCCGCGTCCGGGCTGGATGGAGTGGCCGCGGTAGAGTGTGACTTACGGAAAGATAGCTTTTTCGGAAGCAACGATCCACCGTTCAAAAGGCCCGAACTTTTATCGGAGTTTTCGGCGCGAGATCTGCTCGAACGATCGTTGAGACTCAACCGGCCGCTGACGTTACGGTAGAACGGACTCTGGCGAATCAGTTGAAGTGTACTGGGTTTATCTTTCTTTTTTTCTCTCACTTCTTGCTCTCCCATTGAGAGCGACGTGCGGAGTCAGGGGGATCAGCGGACGCGGGCGGCGCGCGCCATGACGACGGTAGAGCGACTGGCTCACGTGGTGTGAGGGTGGCATCGCGACGGCGCGTCCCCCTCCCCCCTCCTCCTCACAGCCTCCACTCTGGACCACCCCGCCTCTAACAACACATCACTAATCAATCCTGCACGTCAACTGTCATCCTAACTACTTTTATTTGACTTCGGACTGAGTTCGTTAGTTCTGTCGGTAACCGACTTTATAAACAGCTGACGACAGGGAACTAAACTTCAAATTAATTTACAGTCGAAGAACTGAAAAACTTCGCTAGTGACCCAATTACAATTTATTCTGCGATTCGTTGTTTCGCTGAGCTATTCTGAAATCCAAAAGATTCCAACCGCGCATTCAATGTTTAAGGGTGGTTTCGGCGTACGCCGATCATATAAATCATAGATGAGCAATTCAAATATGTCAACCAAACATATTACTCAATAGGAAACATATCTTGTAAACTATGAACAGTACTTGCCAATTTCATAAAAGAGCATGACATTATTATGTAGAGTGTTGGTAAAATGCTAAAAGCTTCGAATGTATAGAGGTGTTCAAAATATTCAGAGGTTATTGTTAAGGAGAGTCATCGTTACGGAGACCAAAATACAGGAAACTTGCAATGTTGCAAATACCGCACGGTTAGAGAATAGAGCGGACATCTAAATAGACTAATATAAGTTCAATGTTTTATATAAGCATACTGATTAATTTTCTAACGATTTTCAATATATAATGAAAAATCTCTGTCTAGGTCCATAATATGGATGTAGTGCTGTTTGCATATACATTAAACAATTTTAAGTCTCTAAAATATGCATACTTTTAATCAAACCTTGAAAGAACGCTTCTAGTAAATAATACATCTCAAGTTGTTGTCTCCGCGGGATACATGAAATCAAACAAAAGCTGGTAGATGTTTTAATAAAACTAAAAGTCCCCCCCTGGATTTGCTTAATTCAGTAACTGCTTCTCCGCGGCGGCGCTGCCGATACCCAATACATCATCCTCAGGCGACGCCATCGATTCTCTTTATTAAAAGCTTTAGCTTTTTATTAGAAACTCTTACTTCTATCAAGAGATGCTTTTAGGACATGAGTAGAGTGATTGTTTCGATCAATAACTTCTATTGAAAAATATTTGCGATTCAAATTTCTTCGTGCAGTAACACTTTATCTAAAGTTATTTCATATTGAAATTAATTAAAAAAATGTAGGGCAGGTAGGATTTATTTAAACGGTTATTGCTTTTCAACACCTGGTTAAAATTTGCAATCAAAATTGCTACTTGTGGATAAAGGTTTTACCTACTAATGGTTGCTGTCTGAAGGTAGAAAACTGACTGTTATTAGTGAATAATTTAAGACGCCTGACTTAGAAGTCTTATTAACGGTAAAAGATTAACTAGTGGTAGAAGACTGACCAGTAGGGAACTCACTAATGGTGAAAGACATGGTTACGCTCTGAAGTACAAAATTCTTATTTATTGCAAATTTTACTTTTCTATTATGTAAGTTTTGTGAGGATAATTATGACATAAAGATTCTGACTTTGATATCCAAATTATTAGTGAGAAAAATGAATTAATAAGCGTGTTGTGGGCCTTTATGAGTGGACGGCTAATGCAGTAGAAACTGCTATGTACACTTATGATCCTGACTAGAAGTAAAGGCCTGACTATACACTGTATGATGGGACCTGTCTCCTGACACTTCGTCTACCTGTGGATTGGCCAGTGGTTAAACGCCATCACCAAGGTACAGGTACAGGAGACAGGTTCCGACCAATAGACTATAGTGTCCTGAGAAGCATGTGGAAGCTGATGTGTTTTCTCCCCGCTCCTCACCCACCGTGTATTCATTATTTTAGAGTGCGGGGAACAACTCAAGTGATCGTAGTGGTCCGCTGCTATCTAAACTCAAGGCTCTGCTTCCGCCGATATCCGGGGTTAATTGAGGTATAAATAGACACGATAAACACTAGACACTAGACACTAGACACTAGACACGCCAGCACGAGCTATAGACTGTCCTGAACACCATGGATTGATTAGAATAATCATTTAACATATACAGAGTGTCCCGGAACTTTCTACCAATGTTTTAGAGCATTGTTCCTGGGTAAGAAACATATTTAAATTGTCCGGAAGTCCTAGTTACTCTCAACAACAACACACAGGGGAATAGAACATTTATACAATACACTATGAAGCCATAGAGAAACCCCTTTTGTAAAATCATTCTTCTATTATTTAAGGAACGAAGTAATATTTTTATCATTTTTTTTAAGGGTTCCACGATCACCTCCTACATTGAATGATAGATTTACAATACTATAACTACGAAAGCTTTATAAAAGCCCAAATTCCTTCATAGCAATTAATATACCTTTCTTAATTTCATTGTATAGTATTTATATACTTTTACTAGCTTAGGACTAAGTGGCAAATTAAATTTACATTAAATTTCATGGGAAGTTTTAATTATGAAAACAAAACTTCGAAAGCTATGAAACAAAACTCGCCACGGAACTCGAAACTATAAAAAATCAAAATAACATTCCTCATTTCGTTAGGGAAAACCTGGTCAGTATTACATGGAGGCAGGGCTTCTAATATTAAGAAATACTAGTGTTTTGCCATGTAATATTGCCACGAAGAGATGTTTTAACCCCAATTTAAACTCTTATTCTCCCTATGAAGTAAGAAATGATTTGTCTCCCAAAAAAAAGCAGTGTATGTATTGGGGTTCTACTTCCAACTGTAAGCAATAAAAATAAAAATGTTTATTCCTCCATAAGCTAAACAATGTCTCGTAAAAATAGTGAACCCACAGTCAATTATGGATTAAGAAAGCTACTGAGTTCTCGTCAAAATTAAAGATTTGTTTACTTGCGGTGACTAAGACCAACATAAAAATCTAATTATAAGGTTAATTTTATAATTTGACGTATTAAACTTTAAAACCTTTTAAATCTACCAAAGGTGGACGAGTACTATTGAATTAATAAGCTACTTGCGTCTCAAATAAATATAAACTCAACAAAGGGTAAAACTCTAGTGGTTTTCCTCGTCTGTAACCATCTTATGGAATAACAAAAGCATCCGTAACAAGTCCCTCGCGGACAGCGGACCTTTGTAACAGCATTAACCAGGCTTAATACTTGTGTGGGAAATACTGTGTATATCTCGAGTGTCTCCAGGCTGGGAATACTGGGAGAACATGTTGGAATGAAATAAAAGTGGACACCTGTGAAATTGTTATATTTAAGTACAGGAAGGTTCATGATTAATCCATTGAATATTCTATACTGAAGAATGAACCAATCTATTATTTTTATTTAGTAATTTTACTGTACACGTACCACCGGTCGATTGGTGGATTGTTATTTTTGGATGGTAGTCAGATTTTTGTATGTATACACAAATTGATAAAAACTCACGAAACCACAGAAAATGAGATCAAACAAGGTTAAAAAAAAAAACTGAAAAAGGTGTTAAACGCAATGACATAACGACAATAATATATTAATATAATAATATAAGCACGGCTAATTGTGAGAAGTTTAATATTACAGCAGAAATGGATTCCATAAATAGCATTATAATATTTTACAGAAACAAGTTATTGAACACAAATTGATAAAAACTCACGAAACCACAGAAAATGAGATCAAACAAGGTGAAAAAAAAAACAACAGAAAAAGGTGTTAAACGCAATGACATAACGACAATAATGTATTAATATAATAATATAAGCACGGCTAATTGTGAGAAGTTTAATATTACAGCAGAAATGGATTCCATAAATAGCATTATAATATTTTACAGAAACAAGTTATTGAACACAAATTGATAAAAACTCACGAAACCACAGAAAATGAGATCAAACAAGGTGAAAAAAAAACAACAGAAAAAGGTGTTAAACGCAATGACATAACGACAATAATATATTAATACTAGCAGACCCGGCGAACTTCGTATCGCCTAAGTTATAGGTTTCCCCTAAGACATACCGATGGAAAGAAAGTACCGTTACGTTTAATTTTCAAGATGCTCTCGTTCGCATCGCTCAATCACGTCCTGGTTGAAGTTCGTTCGCTACGCTCACTCACCTTTGGGTTGGAGCTCGTTCGCTACGCTCACTCACCTTTAGGTTGGAGCTCGTTCGCTGCGCTCACTTGCCTTCAGGTTAGCTCGTTCGCTACGCTAACTCGCCTCCAGGTTGAAGTTCGTTCGCTACGCTCACTCACCTTTTGGTTGCAAATTAGCTGTTGTCATAAATGTAAAAGAAATAATAGTGCTGCACCCTGTTGGTAATCCTTGTAACTTTAATGCTATTGAACATCATAGAACAGAACCAACTTGTTTAATTGAAACAGCTGTTAAGATTCATTAATTCCATTTCTCATAAGGTTAACATGGGAAACTCCAGAGCCACTGGGGCGGAGCCCTTTTAAGAATTTCGAAACGGGAAATAGTTTACGTCCGATTCGCATACCTACAGAATTTACACACCAAATTTCATAACGATCGGTGAAGTCGTTCCGGAGGAGTTTGCAGACAAACACTGTGACACGAGAATTTTATATATTAGATAATAACTAGTGAACCCGTGCTGCTCATCGCGCCGCAAAACAACATATCAATTTAGAAAACAAATCCATCGTGTTATATATTGATTCTAAGTCGAAAATAAAAT